CAGAGCAGCCGGAAGGGCGATTACTACGGACGAGTGCATTAGCACTGGCGCCCCGTTAAATAAATTGGCCGTGGGTGTGAGCATCGGTGCGTGGAGGGCCGTTTTCCCTGACTGCCCCCACTCCAGGGAACCCCCTTCGGGCTTTCCCCCACCGATCCGTCACAATACTTAAAAGAAATGAAAATACATTAACGTTTAAATAAATGAAAAACAAGTACGAAATTTTAATTGCGAAGTTAAAAAGATGCGTGAAAAATGCAAAAAATATGATTTTAATGGTAATTTTAATAAATCTGATGTGTCAAAGAAAATTTTGGATACACATAATAACATGACGCTTCGTAAAACCAAAATAAAAAGTTTTTTTTTATCGTCTCAAACAGCGAAAGAAAACTTAAAGAGTATAGTTGAATAATGTGTTGTCGAACCAAATGAAATTACAATACATCATTCGATAACATATTCAAAGCTATTGGGTTTTTAATTAATAATATATCTTTAACTTGTAATATAATTTTAATCTTCACGGATTACAAAATGCACGCGTGCATCGCACCACGCGCCACGCGCCACGCCACGATGAAGACTCTATCCATTTATTCTTTTGTCTCTCATTGCTGCCAACTCGAATATTACATATATTTCATACAAAAACAATAGAACATAAATGGCGCGAATAATATAAAGCGCGACTCAAGTCTCCACAAAAGCAAATCTCCAGCCAAGTTTCAACTTTCTATATTAATTTGGACGATAGTAACAGGAAAAAATCTAAATACCAATTGTTGCCATATTCTAGCTTTTTAATTAGATACTAAACTATTGAAAAAATTCATAGACGTTAAAAGCGCAATAACACACATTGCAGCATTTTTTTCAAATTTTTTGGTTGCAAAATATAGTTTTAAAATATTAAAAACTGTGAAATATTCGAAAAAAGTACAATTTTTTCGAAAGATGTGCATGCGCTACTTTTATACAATTGTAATAATAACATATTAGCATAACTATTATTCCCGAATATTGTTGATATTTTTCATATTTTATAACTTTTATTTACGTATCATCATCCATATTGAAGAGATGAAATTTTAATTTGGGTGATGCTATACTAATTATGATGAGTATTGCGAGAACTATTAGATATAATGGAATGGACGTCAAGGGAAGGAGATTGTATTTTCAAGTGACAGATTACATAATCTAAGCTGTGAAAAATCCATTTGTTGAAAGAATATATTAGAAGTAACGCAGACTTGTAAATTCTATTGATTAAATGTTAATCTATTTTCTTCCACGTTCATACGAAGAAACTACAAATCCGTATAAAAAATGTGATTAAAGTTTTAATTTTTGTCTTATAAAAAGAAATGTTGTATTCGATGTATTATCACAGCCATGATCTTTCATACAATTTATGTTTGAAACTTTCTTTTGTTCGCTACTGCCATGTACAGACATGAAACAGTATTTTTATTCGACGATATTACGAACTTTTCACGTTTTACTTATTCATTGTTCCCTGAGAAAAGTTATTCAAAAGTTTTTCTTTGTTCTGTCCATAGAAATTCACTGGACACTGAGGAGGCATGCAATAACAGCCACTCTTCATATGGTCAACGCGGTATCGATATAATTAGGAAGTTGTGAGATATACCCGGGATTAAGTGTGCCAAGCCACAGAAGTCTTCAACCCACCTAAATGTCTGAAAAGTGTTCATAAAACTGTACCAATTGCCATCTTCAATTTACGTCGCAAAGTTCAACGTGCGTATTACGGTACAAGTTTCAATGCTATGAGACAATTCAGGACAATTCTAACAGACATACATAATGCATGGAGAGCGGTTATGTTATCTCGGGAAGGAAACTACCGAAGTTCTTGTCATTTTGCCCTAGAGTGTGCTTATACCAGTAGGATAAGTTGTTCTTCGAAAAACGGATAAAACAAAGACACGAAGGATTTGATTCGATCCCAATGAGGCTGTTCGCAGTTTGAAAAATCTTGGAATATACACTGGGAGACCACGTCGAAGATGTCCTGCGAAAAGGCGTCACGGCGATTCAGGTTCTTGCTCAACAAGGCCAAGAGACTGGGTTTGAGCACCGACGAATTAACTGAGCTACCAACTGCTAAGAGACTTCTTTCTGCTCGAGTTATACCGTCTTCCACCTCATGGACGATTTTAGCTATGGTTGCTCTGATCATTGGTGGTGGTGTCGTGCTCGTTTTCTTGTGTGCGCCCTGTATCGCTAGAGCTAGAACGTGAGGATCACTTTGAAGAATACTCATTAGGTGAGTATTTGATATTTCGAAAACTAATACAAATCGGGTAAATACATTAAATCTTAATAATTAAGTTCCATTTAAAAAACAAAACTTCACCATCATATCTTTTACATTAATAACATTAAAAAAAATTCGTTTATACTAAAACATACAGCCTCTTTTATCCTGTAATTTCCATATAAACACTTTTAAGTGTCATCAATAGTTCATGAAATATCATGCTGTCATATTTAGGCATGGACACCCTGTATATTATACGAATCATATCTCAATATTGAATAAAGTTCAGTCATTAGCAGTTAATAAATGTGTTTCGCATTTTTTAAACATTCTCTTTTAATTTTAAATTGCGACATATCTTACAATAAAGGTAAGATAATCAGATTTATCTTAAGTATCAAAATCGGAAAGCAGTGCTCAGTGACTTCATCTTTTCTTTTATCAAACTGTTGATAATCACACTAACATATTCTATAAACAAAAATAAGAAAATATGTTAATACAAACTTAGGCCCTTGAATACTTTAAAACATATGCAAGTTAACCATTCTTACACAATATTAAACAAAAAAATATTTATAGAACATATTATTTATATGTATAACAGGCTGGTAAAATTTCACATACTAAACTATGACACACTGTATTTATTATCGAAAAACAAAGTAGTCCGAAATTATTTTGTCACTTCAGGGGTTTCAAATAAAATTTCTGTAATATAATTTTTTAGATCAGTTTGAATATGTTAATCAAGTTAGATGGCAAAAATCCAGGACACCCTGTAGTCGCTCGATAAATACCCTGTCTAAAGGCTTCGGAGACAGGCTCTGTCCGGGAACAGGTATATATAAGGCAACCAATGACAAACACGTTTTCCCTGATACTCCTCTTTTCTTTTTGCACTTACTACGGTAGGCCATTAATTTGGTAACTTTAATCATTGTCATTACTTTTAGTGATATTGAAAAAGTCAATTTGCAAAATTATAAAATATAGAGTGTTAGGTAAATCGATAGCAAGTTTGTAAGGCATGAGAGAATAGGATATTTGGAACATATCATACTCTATAATATAAAATCGTAACGTAATGCGTAACGCGTAACCCGTAACGCGTAACGCTGTCACGGTTATATTGTATTTTATCATTCTATCATTCTCTATCATGATAGTGAAGCACTCTCTATAGTACAAAATCATAACACAACGGTATCACGCGTAGCGCTGTCACGGTTAGGTTAGGTTTAGGTTAGGTTACATCTGTCACGGTCATATTGTACTCTATAGTATAAAATCATAACGTAACTGTGTTACGCGAAACGCTGTCACGGTTAGGTTAGGTTAGGTTAGGTTAGGTTGGCCGGCACGATCGGGGACTATCTGAAGGATAGATGGATCGAGTACCCGGGCCGGGACGGTGTCGTGTACCGGAGGGAAGTTGACCGCGGCGTACCCCAGGGGGCAGTGCTTGGCCCCTACCTCTGGGATGTGGGGTATGACGCGGCGTTGCGGGTTCCCCGACCTCCCGGGGTGAGGGTGGCCTGCTTTGCGGACGACACGCACATTCTCGCCACCGGGAGGGAATGGACGGAGACCATCCGCCTTGCTGAAATAGGGGTGGCAGCGGTCGCTGCAGAGATCAGACGGCTGGGGTTAAGCTTGTCGGTCGGCGAAACCGAAGCGATGTGGTTTTGCCGCCGACGGGGCGAGGCCCCGCCCCAGTCGTTCGTCCGAATAGGTGGGCAAAATGTCCAGATTGGAGACGGGATGAAGTATCTCGGTCTCCAACTGGACAGCCACTGGCGCTTTGAGGAGCATTTCAAGCAACTGGCCCCCCGGTTGGAGAGGACAGCGGCAGCGTTGGGCCGCATCCTCCCCAACCTGGGTGGGCCAGATGAGAAGGTTCGCCGCCTGTATTCAGGAGTCGTGCGGTCGATGGCCCTGTATGGGTCACCCGTATGGGCAGAGGATTTGTTGGCCTCCCGGCGTAGTAAGCAATTACTACAAAGAGTACAGCGCCGGGTGGCCATTGCTGTCATACGGGGGTACCGCACGGTCTCCTATGCGGCGGCGATGACTCTGGCCGGGTTTATCCCTTACCACTTGCTGGCTGAGGGGGACGCTGATGTGTACTGGCGTCTCCATCAGCAGCAGGGGGTACCCCGGCTGGATAAATTAGCTCTTACGCCCACTCCTATTAACACGGTAGTTACTGGTTTAGGAGAAAGAAGTAGTCCAATCCAATCCAACGTATCGCTACCGAATGTAATACATTTGTAGCAGACCTCGCATGTTTAGTATTAGGAAATATCATTGAGGAAATGCCAAATATCCCACTAGCAGGGGTAAACATCCTAATACCTCCAAACGTCACTCCGGCTGATCCCAGCTTCCAGTATCCGGACCGCACAGATCTTTTGATTGGTGCCGGCTGGTTTTGGAAACTATTGTGTGTGGGACAGCACAGAATGGGCTCAGGAAGCTTAGCATGGCAGAAAACGCACCTTGGATGGGTTTTAGGTGGCAGTTTGTTTTAACCGAATAGCGAAAAGTGTTTTGTGCGGACGTGCCACGCGGTGACAAACGCCCAACTACACAACTCAATTTCGAGATTTTGAGAAATCGAGGAGATTAGTTTGTGCACAAGATCCACTGTCAATGACGAATATGAACGGCACCTTAAAGAAACGACGAGATGAAAGCGGCCGATACATTGTTGCTGTTCCTTTCAATAAGAAAATACGCAAATTGGGTAACTCACGCCGACAAGCAGAAAGACGTTTTCTTAACTTAAAGCGAAAATTTAGAACCGACCGTAATGCTCGTCTTCACTTCGGTAATTTTATGCGCGAATATTTGAATTTACGACATATATCATTAGCTGATATTGATTCCGATGCTGAAATGGGTTACTATTTTTCACATCACGCTGTGCTCAAGGATTCCAGTATAACCACGAAAATTCGCGTTGTATTTGATGGTTCAGCTAAAACGACTTCCGGTATGTCAGTAAACGATTCTCAGATAGTTGGTCCTGTTGTGCAGAACGATCTCTTTTCCATTTTACTTAGATTTAGAAAGCATCGAATCATTTTATCCTCAGATATCAAGAAAATGTACAGGCAGGTTTTAGTAAAAAAGGCCAATCGCGATTATCAGCGCAGCATACTTTGAAATCACCCACTGGAAGGAGGAGTTATCCTCCAGCGGGGCCGTGGGGAAGCGTGCTGTCGGGGCGGTCCTTCCGCGAATGGAGCAGTGGAGACCGCGGCCACGGGCGGCTCTCGTTCCGGATCACGCAGGTGCTCACCGGGCATGGTTGCTTCGGGGAGTACCTGTGCCGGATCGGAAGGGAATGATCGCCGATGTGCTATGAGTGTGGTGCTGGCCCGGATGACGCCCAGCATGTAATGAGTGGGTGCCCTGCCTTTGCATGGCAGAGGCACCATATGGAATGTGAGTTAGAGTGTGATCCAGCAAGTTTGAGTGACGTAATAGAGAGAATGATTAAGAGTGATGAGGGATGCAAGGCTGTCGCCTCCTTCTCCTTCTGCGAGACGGTGATCTCGCGGAAGGAGGAGGCAGAGCGTGAAACGGAAAGACGCGGAGTGACTGTGAGATGGAGAGGGTAGTGAGGCGGCGCGACTTCTTCGCGTCGTCCGCACGGGATGAGTGGTGAGTGATTGTGTGTGCGTGTGTGTGTATGTTAGTGGCGTGTTTGTGTGTGCGCATGTGTTAGTGATAAGTGGAGAGATGTGGTGGGATGGGGATCGCGCCGCCCTCCTCGGCGTCGGTCCTAGTCCCCTTGTGTGAGTGTCGGCGGTTCTCAGTCCGGGGTGTCGGAGTCCCCGGGATTGACCGAGGCCGCCATGGCGAGCTGCCGAGGTGTCACGGGCGGGGGCCCCCCTCC